ATTGCAACATTATATGCAAATTGTATTACCACACGTTATTCGGTTCCACCTTTTTCCTCGTAGAGACATAACTTATTGAGATCTTTTCATTTTCATCATTTCCAGGTACTAGAACCTCCTGTGAGGTCTTATCAATTGCTATGTCCTTATGTTCCTCTTGAGCAATTGTCTCTATGTTATGATCAACTTGATCATTTGCTCCTTTCCTTTTTCGGGGATTCTTATCCTTGGAACCAATTGGTCTACCACGTTTAAGGCGTGGCCTAGACTCATTTGCATCATCATACTGTCCAGCTGGGACATCAACTTGAATTGGAGCATTTACAGCTGGAATATGCGATTTAGTAACCCGTGGAAGGTTAGTAAATGCATCTGGCAATTGATTTACAACATTTTGCATATAAATAATCTTTTGAACTTCTTGTTCACATTGATTTGTACGAGGATCCAAATGAGATAGAGATAATACGTTACAATCTATCTCTTTTTCTAGCTGTTTATTTTCTCCCCTAATGTTGGAAAAACTGATTCATCAAAATGACAATCAGCAAATCTGGCTGTAAATAAATCTCCTGTCATAGGCTCCAAATATTTAACAATAGAAGGAGATTCATAACCAACATATACTCCCAACCTTCTTTGGGGACCCATCTTTGTGCGTTGTGGTGGAGCAATTGGAACATATACTGCACATCCAAAAATTCTTAGATGGGAAATATTTGGCTCCTGACCAAAAGCCAACTGTAATGGGGAGACTTTATGATAATTGGTTGGCCTTATGCACACAAGTGCTGCTGCATGCAAAATAGCATGTCCCCACACTAAAAGGGGGAGTTTTGTCCTCATTAGCAATGGTCTAGCTATTAGTTGAAGTCGTTTAATCAATGATTCTGCTAGACCATTTTGAGTATGAACATGAGCAACCGGATGCTTAACTTTTATTCCAGTGGCCATACAATAATCTGTAAAGGCCTGAGATGTAAATTCACCAGCATTATCAAGACGAATTGTCTTAATTGCATAATCTGGAAATTGTACTCTTAACCTTATTATTTGGTCCAACAATCTCGCAAATGCCATATTACGAGTTGACAATAAGCACACATGTGACCATCTTGTAGATGCGTCTATCAAGACCACAAATACTTGAATGGGCCACATGGAGGGTGTATAGGCCCACATATATCACCCTGTATACGTTCCAGAAATGCAGGGGATTCAATCTCAACTTTAGCTGCTGATGGTTTAATAACCAATTTTCCTTGAGAGCAAGCAGCACAAGAGAATTCCTTAAATTGAAGAATCTTCATATTCTTCAATGTGTGCCCATTTGAATTCTCTATTATTCTGCGCATCATGTTAGAACCGGGATGGCACAACCGGTCATGCCAAATGATAAAATCGTTAGAAGTAGTAAACCTTTTGTTTACTATGGCATGTGATTCAACCACACCAATATTTGTGTGGTACAACCTAGAAGAAAATGCGGGTAATTTTTCGTGCACACATTTTTTCCCCGCTTTTATTGTAGTAATATAAAGGTATTCAACCTTTCCTTCGTTAGAGGTCTCAACATGGTAGCCATTTTGGCGAATAGCTTTGAAACTCAACAAGTTTCTTTGAGACTTACTACAATACAATGCATTATTAATAGTTAATATCGTTCCTCCAGGTAGTAATAAGGCCGCTCTTCCAGAGCTCTCAATTAACTTTGTACTACCAGATATATTGTATTAACATAAGCCTTTTTCATAACCAAATAAGAGAAAAATTTCTTTTCTCTTAATATTGTGTGAGTTGTAGCACTATCCAAAAGGCATAAATCTTCATTACTCATCTTGGATCCAATTGAAGACTGGGGAATTTTATATTCTGAACAACGAAAAGAGCTCAACTTCGTGCTGATAACGTGTTAAAAAATATAGCTCAAAGTAACAATAAAAAACAAGAAGATAAGTAGAATAAGAGAAGAAGAGATAACTTTCTTATTTCATCAAGTGTTCAAGTGTATTTCATCTCACATTTCATGCCTCTATTTATACTATTACATATGAAGGTTACAAAATCATTGTCTTAAACATGGCATTAACAATTGAGATCATGGGGGAAGATCACGGGGAGGGGTTATGGAGGTGTGAGAGTTACAATCATAATGGTGATGAGTAGTGGAAGGTAATTTACATCATGGGTGAAAGTAGTGGGAGTAGTGGACATCCACATTTACTAAATATTTTATAACAATTGCATCTTTTTCCTTCTTAATATCACCTTTTATGCCCTCCTCAGTAAATGATTTTTGGTAGACAAAATAGGAAGTTTTCAGTTATGTAACCATTTACACCTTACACCTGACAGACCATAGAAGCAAGACTGAAGATCATTATCAATTGCTAAATAGCGTTACACATATCTCAATCATGATATATATAACAAAGGGAGACTCAACAATAATTCGATATTTATATGGACGAGTGCAAATATCAACAGCCATGTTATTATGTACTACTCCTAACTAAAATGGGGCAATTTAACACTAGGAAATAGGAACAGATGTAAATTGTTTTTTAGCATAGCTGTCAAATTAATGGTTTTTGGTCCATCCCCTATATAAGTACTTATCTCTATCAATTCCAGAAAGGAATCTCTCTCTTTCTCTGTTTGTTTGATGACAGAAATCCTATGGTCCATAAAGCATCGTACACAATTTCTTCTAATATACTTTCTTTCTTGAATTTTTCGTTATCTCTTCTTGATTTCATTTTAATCAAAGGACAATCTCCCACGCTCTAGATATCAATGCCACAAACATATTCAGATTCAAGATTTAAATCTAACAAGTTCAGCTTTTATGGTTTTTAGCATTAAGCTCATTGTACTGCTAAAATTAGGGGTGTATATGGACCGCGTTGGTTCGGGTTTATCGAAACCAAACCAAACCAACTATATGGGTTTGGATTGGTTCGGTTTTGTCGGATTTTTCGGGTTTTTTGTTATTTAAATATTATTTCAATCTTACTTTGTTAAATTTTTGATAAGTAAATATATGTTTAGTAAAAATATAAAAAAATTGACAAATATATTATCTATTAAAATATTCTTATGAGAGAACTTTCTAAGTAACACATAATAGTTATTTTTTTAGTCAATCTGACAATAATGTTTCGCTGATGCACACTTTCAAGGTTAACTGAATTTAGTAATTAAAGATAAAAATCAATATGATACTTAAATAATAATGATCACTTCACATCCGAAAATATATAACAATTTAATAGATCTTAACATATGATATGAATATGGAAGAACAAAGAGATTGACGCATTTCAGTAATACTTGATGGGAAAGTGATCATACAACCCATTATTTAAGGTTAATAAATATGGAGCACTTCATATACTATTAAATATTATATCTCGCAAGAGAATCCCAAATATTTCTAGACATCTTTTAAAGAAAATTCTATATAAAATCTTAAAAGTATATATAAAATTATATATTTATATGTCGGTTTGGTTCGAGTTTTTTTACTCAATACCAAATCAAATCAAACGAAACCTAGTCGAGTTTTTTAATCGGTTTGGTTTGAATTTTCGGTTTAGTACGGTTTTCCGGTTCGGTTTGTACACCCCTAACTAAAATTATGGGTTCAAATATAATATACTTGTTGATATTATAATAAATTTTTACATATAAATCTAATATTCCGCATCGAAAATTAAGAATTCAATTGAACCCGTAGCTAAATGCTGTAATGCATGTGGTCTCCTTTAATTTTCTTTTTTCTCCTCACTCAATGTAGTGGAGATTTGAAAGGAAAAACACCATTTTGAAAGAAAAGGAAAAAAAGCCACCTTTTTTATTTTTCTATATTATCATTTTCATAGAAGCAATATCTCAGTGAGATATAAAGTCTTGACGTTGGCAGCTCCAAGATCATTCCAAGGTTACAACTTGTAGAGTTTATGAGTAGTCAGTTTCTTTAAAAAGCAAACGAATGAAAGCCTTTCCAAAAAACTAGTAACCAATTATTACTTGCGGCTGGCTGCATGTCCTGGCCTAGAAAATGGAACAAGAAACAGAGATAATCAATCATAAGCACAAAGCAGAAACAGAAATTATTCGTTGGTTCGAGGAAGTTGCCGAGGATGCTGACCTCGTACAGCAGCAGACACTACGCCAGATTCTTGAACTTAACCATGGTGTGGAATATCTCAAGAAATGGCTTGGAGATATCGAAGTTCAAGAAATGGATGAAAATGCATTGGAATCGATTTATACTTCTTTGGTCCCTCTTGCTTCTCATGCAGATTTAGAGCCTTATATTCAGAGAATTGCTGATGGAGATACTGCTCCTCTCCTCACTCAAAACCCCATTACCAATCTATCTTTGAGGTGAGATTTTTTGTCCACCTTCACGTTTTATCCTATTATTTCTTACCCTATGTTGCTCGGACTCTTCTGTAAATTTTTGCGAAAGTATATATACTCCCCCCATTCCAAATTTACAGTCAAAGTTAAGTACTTTGATACTCGTACTCCAAACTATGCCAATCTTTTTAAAACCTAAGGAGTACTCGATAAGGGTATGCCAACTTTTTTTTTTTTTAGTGTATTCTGAAGAATTCACACGAAGTACCTACACCTAATCACGCCATTGGGCATGAGTATATCAGGACAAATGAAGGATCAGTGCATTTACCTTCTTTTAGATATTTTTTTTCCTTTAAAACCTTTTTTTTGAACTGTGGAAGATACTTATGGGAACCAATTATTGTACATGGGAAAGGTTGTCTTGTCTTAGTAATTTACATGAGAAAAAGTACGTATTACTATTTGTTTCTTTTTGCTAATAATGCATTGAAATGAGAGACCCCAGCAATTTATTTTCTTTTTCAATAAAAGTTGAAGTTTTCTTTTAACTATATGTCTAATGATGTTTTCTTGCTTGAGGAAACTGCGTTTAGTTCTGGAACTACTGAGGGAAGACAAAAGTTTGTGCCTTTTACTTCCCATAGCTCACAAACCACTCTTCAGATTTTCAAGTTGGCAGCAGCATATAGATCAAGGTATGTGGATGTCCAATCTCATAAAATAATAAGTATAAAGCCGCATATATATATATATATTTTCATCTGGGTGGTTTTTCCCCCGCAGTATTTATCCAATAAAAGGAGGAGGAAAAATTCTTGAATTCATATACAGCAGCAAACAATATAGAACAAAGGGAGGACTAATAGCAGGAACAGCTACAACACACTATTATGCTAGTGAGGAATTCAAGACTAAACAGCAAGAAACAAAATCCTTCACTTGCAGTTCAGAAGCAGTCATTTCAAGTGGAGATTACAAACAATCCACATACTGTCACCTCCTTCTTGGCTTGCATTTTTCAAAGGAAGTAGAATTTGTTACCTCAACTTTTGCATATAGTATGGTTCAAGCATTCAGATCATTTGAGGAGTTGTGGAAAGAATTGTGTCATGATTTAAGGGAAGGTAGTCTTAGCTCAAGAATTAACATAATCAAAATGCGAAAAGCGGTATTAGAGATAATTAATTTGCCTAATCCAGAATTGGCTTCAAGAATTGAGTCAATTTGTGAGGAGCTAGAAAGGGAAGATTGGTTTTGCCTAATACCAACATTATGGCCTAATGCTAAGTATGTTTACTCAATAATGACAGGCTCAATGCAGCCATACTTGACAAAATTAAGGCATTATGCAGGGGGATTGCCTTTGGTGAGTGCTGATTATGGGTCCACTGAGAGTTGGATTGGAGTAAATGTGGATCCTTCTTCTCAACCAGAAAATGTTACTTTTGCAGTGATACCAGCTTTTTCTTACTTTGAGTTCATACCACTTTATAGACATAAGTCGCATTATAATTATCAAAATGGAAATATTAATTCAGCCAACGATGATTTCATAGAAGGTGACGTTGTGCCCCTATCTCAAGTCAAGATTGGACAACAATATGAAATCGTCCTAACTACTTTCACAGGTATGTAAATTAGACGAATTTGTAGACTTACCTTATTTTTCAAGTTATTAATTTTACTTGTTACGAGTAGTTAACTGCAAATACCTTTCAAATAACTGGATCCAGGATTTAAATCTTATGGGTTCAATTTTAAGGTTCTGGGATTGAACCCATTACATTTATAAAGTTACATATCTACTATTTTTATAATTTTAATGAATTTTTACATATAAATTTTATTCCGCGTCGAAAGTTATGGGTTCAATTGAACTCGGCAGTACATTACAACTCTACATATGCCCCAGAGTGTATAGAACTTTTGTAAGTTTAAACATAAACATTTGTGTGCAATTTCATGAACTATGAATATTGGACGTAAAAAATTGTGGAGAATTTCAGTTTATCTTGTTCGACATGCACCCGATTAGGAAAGAAATTGGCGAGTTTGGCCATGCAACTTCAATAGTAAATCATAAAGTTTAAGTTATATGCACCATCATTGTAATTTTTTTTAATATCATCGGGTCGCCCTAACATGTTATATCAGGTAATCTATTTTATTTTCAAGATTACAAGCTCTACATTTAAGGAGGCTTACTTGTAGGTTTTCCTCGAGTGACCTAATAATATTGAATTAAAGTTATGATCGATAACATTTTGGTCATTATAATCTTTTCCAAATTGAAATATGCTTATATGTATATATTATCATCTGATGTGTATACTTATTTGGTTTCAACTTTTGACCATCTGAAACCGCTATTTGCAGGTCTATATAGATACAGGTTAGGCGATGTGGTTGAAGTTGCCGGTTTTTACAAGAAAACACCCAAACTTAACTTCATATGCAGGAGAAAGCTGATATTAACAGTGAATATCGATAAGAATACAGAGAAAGACCTCCAGTTAGTGGTGGAGAGAGGTTCGCAAATACTAAGCAAGGCAAGAGCCGACCTAGTAGATTTCACGAGCCATGCGAACTTGGCAAAACAACCCGGGCACTATGTGATTTACTGGGAAATCAAAGGTGAAGTTGAAGAAAGGATTTTAGGAGAGTGTTGTAGAGAAATGGATGCTTCATTTGTTGATCATGGGTATGTTGTATCAAGAAAAACACATTCCATTGGACCCTTAGAGCTTTGCATTGTGGAGAGAGGTACTTTCAAGAAAATCTTGGAATATTTCATAGGAAATGGGGCTGCAATGAGTCAATTCAAGACTCCTAGATGTACCAGCAACCAAGTATTATTAAAAATACTTAATGTCTGCACAATTAAGAGGTTTCATAGCACAGCCTATGGGTGATTAGGATGTGGTATTCACTCGATATGTAACCTGTTCAATACATGTGTTAATCAGCTTATTATCAACATCTGCAATTCTTTCTCTGTTTCTTTTTTCCTCAATATCAATTATGACTACTCCTCTTGCAATTTAATTTGAGTCAGTGCGCTTCTATTTAAAATTGTACGTGATTACCAGTAGCTAATCAAGATCATATCGTTGTTCTTAGTGTTATATCGAGGAAGAGGCAAACCCGAAAATAAAGAAGATAAAGAACACCAAATTTTAACGTGGAAAAACCCTTCAAATCGAAGGTAAAAATCACGGGATCACAAAGATCCAAAAAGCTCCACTATAACAATAAGAGGGTTACAAAAGTTCTCCAAATTGGCTACACAACAAGTGCCAAACACGGAGCAACAATAGCAACAACTAATCAATTGAAGAAAGAGGAGAATCCTCAAAAACAAAACTGTTGTTCAAGGCTCGAAATCAGATGCTACAGGCCTCCAAATCCGATCTCCACCGTTCAAAGAATACTCAACGAAAATTTAGCCCGATCCAACAGTTAACGTATTGGGAAACGCGATTTGAAGTTGGCTAGTCGGAAAAAATCTGCAGCAAAACAAATACTTTTCTTCTCTCTTCTCTCTTGATGAAAGCTCTCTCAAAAATTACTCTTATGTGCTAAAATCTTTCAAAGGCTTGTATCAATGAGCATGGAATGATTCTCCAAAGTTTTCCTATTTAAAGATCATGAGTAGTGCTTTCCCTTAAAGCCAAAACCAACTCTAAATAGGAACAAAAACCGAATCCAATTCCGAATAGGAATGAAAACCAAAAGAGAATAGGATTACGCCATTGAGACTTTGGCTGGACAACATGAGCATGTGCTCAAAAAACTCCCCCTCAAGGCAAGAGGCCAAATGTGTCTTCAAGTAGAGGAACTATTGACAGGCTTCATGCCTGCCAATTTTCTGCAAAACGCTTGCTTATCTGCAAGCTTAACTACGAAGTCCTCATGCTGCTCCATATAATTATTCTCATCTAAATCACCATGAAGAAAAGCAGTCATGACATCCATCTGCTCAAATTCTAAATCTAGACTTGCAGCTAAGCCGAGAACCTCTCGAATAGAAGATAACTTCACAACAGGGGAGAAAATTTTATCAAAGTCAACTCCCTTCTTCTGGCCAAAACCTTTAACAACTAACCTCGCCTTGTATCTAGGCGCAGAGGTGTGGTTATCTTGCTTTATTCTGAATATCCATTTGTTAGATAAAACTCTCTTACCTTTCGGTAATTTCACTAACTCATACGTGCCATTCTCATGGAGTGACTGCATCTCATCTTCCATGGCTTCACCACTGATCTTTATGAGTATCTTGCATGGCTTCATCACAATTCTCAGGTTCTCACATGTCAGTCAAAAGTACATACTCATCAGGAGGATAGCGCATGGATTTTTGCTTCTCCCTAGTAGATCTTCTAAGAGAGGTTTCAGGAGCATTCGAAGTAGTTACCTGAGCAGGAATTGGTTGTTGATCAACCACAACTTCATCAACTGGAGCATCAATAACATCTACACCATGATGATCATTTTGATCTTGGTCACTATCTCCATCATTGTCTTGGGTTCCTTCATGTGCAATAGGTGCCTTAGCAATTGAAGCTGGATCAATATCAACTAAGCTCTCATTACTCTGAGAAACTATCTTCTCAGCTTTGTCAATATCTTCAATAGTATGATCTTCAAAGAATATTGCATCACGACTTCTAATAAGTTTATTGTCAACTGGAACATAAAAACGATACCCAAATTCATCTTGACCATAACCGATCTATGCACTACTTAGTTTTGACGTCCAGTTTTGATCTCTCATCTTTAGGAACATGCACGCAAGCTTTACACCCAAAAACTCTCAGGTAATCATAAGAAACATCTTTGGCAAACCAAACTCTGTCTGGGACATCACCATCCAAAGCAACAGCAGGAGACAAATTGATAACATAGGCAACAATATTAAGTGCTTCCGCCCAAAATGTATTTGGAAGTTTATCTTCTGAAAGCAAGCATCTAACTCTCTCAACTAGAGTTCTATTCATCCTTTCTGCCAAACCATTCAACTGAGGTGTCTTGGGCGGAGTTTTCTAATGACGAATTCCTTTTTCCTTGCAATAGTTAGAAAAGGGACCACAATATTCACCACCATAGTCAGTGCGAATACATTTTAATTTCTTCCCCGTCTGTCTCTCAGCTAAGGCCTGGAATTCCTTAAACACACTAAGTGCTTGATCTTTAGATTTCAAAGGATACACCCAGAGCTTACGAGAATGATCATCAATGAAGGTCACAAAGTAAAGTGCACCACCTTTTGACATTACTTTAAAAGGACCACACAAATCAGAGTGTACGAGCCATTTGTGAGCTTTCATTGGCCATTAAAGAGGGCATTATGGTAACCTTGATCGTCTAATCTTCCTGCGGAGAACAAATTGAAGGAAAGTATGGAGCATGCTTGACATCTTGAAGAACTAATGAACCATTATTAGTTTTCAAACAAACTGTACAAACACCGAACACCATAACTTCACTAGCAATTGCCCTTCTTTAACACTCCAGAATCAACAAGAGTATAAGATGAGAAAAAATCTTTTTTTGGTGTGACATGTGAAGTAGCTCCAGAATCTACAATCCAGCTCGTCTCATGGGATAACAAATTGATGACATTTTCATCATAAGCAAAAAGAAGGTCATCTCGAACAATAGCAGCAACATTGATCTCGTTATTTTTAGCTTTCTTTCCTTCTCTAATGTCTTGATTCAACTTGCGGCAAAACCTTTTGATGTGTCCTTTCTTGCCACAGTGGTTGCATGTAATATTATGGTATTTGGACCTTGACTTACTTCTACTTTTACCTCTATTCCACGAGCCTCTTGTTCTTTCTCTCCCCCTGTCTTCTGTAACCAAGATATCTGCTTGCGAGGACGAAACCTTGAGATTTTCTTCTTACTTCCTCATTCAACACACCACTCTTGGCATATTTCATGGTCACCTTACCTCGAGGAGCTGAATTTGTCAAAGAAACACGAAGAGTTTCCCAAGAGTCAGGTAGAGTATTAAGAAGCCAAAGTCCTTGTATCTCATCATCAAAATTAACTCCCATTCCAGACAGCTGATCAAGGACGCTCTGAAAATTATTTATGTGATCAAGGATAGGGCTGCCTTCCTTTTATTTAAAGGTCATTAATTGCTTTAGCAGGAACAACTTGTTGTTCCCAGTTTTTGAAGCATAAAGAGTCTCCAGCTTTTCCCACAATGATCTCGCATGTGTCTCGTTCACAATATGGCTGCGAACATTATCTTCAACCCATTGTCGTATATATCCACATACTTGTTGGCGCTCGAAATCCCAATCTTCATCAGATATACTCTCGGGTTTATGAGCTGCAAAAACGGGTAGATGCATCTTCTTCACGAACAACAGGTCTTTCATCTTGCTTCTCCAAACATTATAATTTCTCCCATTTAAACATACCATCTTGCTCATATTCGCCTCAATTCCGTAACAACCTGGATAAATAACCAAGGTTCTGATACCACTGTTATGTCGAGGAAGAGGCAAACCCAAAAATAAAGAAGATATAGAACACCAAATTTTAACGTGATTTTTACCTTCGATTTGAAGGGTTTTCCGCATTAAAATTTGGTGTTCTTTATCTTCTTTATTTTTGGGTTTGCCTCTTCCTCGACATAACATTTAGCACGTTGGTTATGAACACCTTATTTTGATAATCAGTTTTTGTCAAAACAATTTTTTCAAAAAAGTACTTTTGAAAAAACAACATGTATTTTACCGATTGTTTGAGAAGTATCTTTTTTAGTATTCAATAAATAAAAACCGTTTTTGCTTGTTTTTTGTCAAACACCTCAAAGCCTAAAAAAATACTTCCTAAAAGAAAATGCTTTTAGCTTCCAAAAACTTTGGCCGACTATAAATATCTTATACTAGTTATGTTTTAATAATTGCTTTAGCATTTGAGGTTCAAACAAATGTTGACAATGGCTAAGAGCTAAAATTAAAGAAGGTATATTTCTTCTACACACTCCACTTAATTTAGGTGTCCAATTTGGGTTAAACAAAACAAGTTTTCTATCACAGTTAAAAAGTAATTGGATCTGAAAGTGAAGACATATAAACCATCAAAGGGTGTGGGGCAGTGGATGGGACTGTTCTTTCCTTAACCAGATGTCTCGAGTTCGAGCGAATGGGGCAAGGACAATAAAAAGGCTAATATATACACGCCATATGTTAGCCTAAAAGATATACGCGCATGCATTATGTGCTTTCATTTTTATTACTATTATATTATTATCAGATAGGTGCTTCAGGATTTTATATGTCTTTTTTTGTTTGTCATACGATGTCCGATACCCGCATTGAAGACCGATTATATTCGCATTCGCGCTGGGTAGGGCTCCATTCGGGAGGAAGCGCTCCCTACCAAAGATACCTATCTGATAATAATAAAATATTATACAACGCACTATGGCAAGTGCCCCATATGTACTTGGCCACGAACAAAAGGTTATTGTATATATGCAACTTTAGAGACTTCCATATAGTGTTAGAGCGGTTCATATTTATGGTCCCAAATAAAATAATGCCACAATTCTAAGACCTAACATATACTTGTCGTTTATTAATGTTCCCTCACCAGTGCCCTCTCCACTGAAATTTTCTATCGATCAGTTATCGTGAAGAACAGCCACACATACATTCCTTGATAAATCCGACAAAGAGGTTTGATCATTCGTCTCGAAAATTATAATGTTATTTCAAATGTGTAACAACATAAGTTGTTGGATAGAGAAAAGTAAGATAATGATTACTCCACTTTGAATATAAGAACAGTAGTGGAGGTTGCATGTAGCTGACAAAACAAGGTTGTCTTTGAAAATTATGAAACCGAGCTAAATTACATCATGCATTGATGTACAGATTAAAGTGGATTCAGAATTTAAGATATATGAGTTATATTTAAGGTTTTTATTTTTAACATTGAACTTATTATATGTTTAAAATTATGGATTTACATCTACTATTTATT